AACATGTAGTGGATGTTGCTCATTTTGAAAACTATATCGCCCAGCAGCAGTATGACTAGGACATAGCCTGGTTTGGCAAGCATTTTATCTCCCTTCACCGTTACTTTCAGCAGCCACCACCACCACCTCCACCTAATCAGGGTTCCTCTTTCTACTAGTTTCTCAGTGTTTATACTAGTGCTCGTTTCTGTATTTTATTTAGTTTAGTGTTTTTCTTGTTTCCTCCTTTTTATAATGTCAAAAGGTGAAGTAATATGTTGTTTGATACTTTGATTATGTTTTTAGTAGAATGTGTTCTGTTCAATTGCTTTTTTTCCTCTTTTTTTCTTTTTTTTTTGTAATTTAAAATACAATAATTAAAAAAATCATGATCTAAAATTTTTAACAATAATATTTGTCATCATCAAAAATGGGAAGATTATTGCAAATCTAGATCCAAATACTGTGATTTTGATGATAATAAAATATTCTTGTTTCTTTACCAATACTCTTATTGCATATCTTTTTTTTTGCCTGCTTACTAACTTTTCAGGTCCACAAAATCACTTGCAATGTAAATTAGCCCAATATCGAGTAGACTAGGGTTAAGTTCTATAAATTCAAATTCAATGTACCTTTTACTTTTCTTGAGTCAAGTCATGTACCTGGTGCACCTCAAATTAGGCAACATTGCACACACACTCAGGGGAGAAATTTGGTGAGTTAGATAATTATATGTTTTTGACCTAATCATATAGGACAATTTCAAATTGTATTGGACTAAAAATTAAAAATAAAAACCTTAATTATGACATCTCAATTTTAAGAGTGATTAAACTAATCGTACTGGAGGATCCCTATCATTCAAGACGATCAGTTCAAATCATGAAAACAACCACAAATCATAATTTATGAAATATTTTAATTTTCAAATTTTTGTTCTAATCTTACAGGACGATGTTGGTCGTCCTGGACTATTCTGAACAATCATTCCTAAATTAATCTCGTGATTAGGAGAATAATTATGATAAAACATAATTCAATACGATCATACAGGACGATCGGTGATAATAGTCCTAGATGACAGAGAACATGTAGGGTACGATAAGGGATCGTCACCTATCATATCAAATGATTACCATAATTTTTTAACTAATCGTCCATGATGATATACCCCTATCGTATTGGACGACAGAGAAGTGCATGGGACCATGAGGCATCGCCGGGCATCATATTAGACGAAGTTCAATAGTTTTATACTAATCGTCCAGGACAACATTGAAATCGTCTGGGACGATTAGCCTATTTCTCTTGAACTAATCGTACAGGGCAATGCTTGTTATCCTGACTAAAAGGATTATTTTGTACTAAACATGCAGGATGATCTATCGATCGTCTTGGGCAATCAGTTGTGTAGAATTAAAAATTAGGGCTTCTTTTGGAGACTCTCTATTTAATCTCTCTAATTATCTCTTGAGATGATCTTTTGCTGTGGAGTTGATCCAAGAGAGAGCTTAGAGAAGGAAGAGGGAGAGCTTAAGAGAGAGAGATCGTTGCGAGGGGGAGTTGTGAGGGAATCACAAAGGTTGCTCCAAGCAAGGTGTTCGTCGTCTTCCTCAAGTTGCACATCGGGTTCCTTGGTGGCTCTGGGAAGATCGTCATCAGCATTAGATCCAGTTTTCCTGCCTACTCCAGGAGGGAGTAAAAGGATTCTCGAGTTCTTTGCCTCACCAGGTGGGTGAAAAATGATTTACAGTGTCTACTCTAGGAGGGAGTAAATATATTCAAGATTCTCTGCCTCACCGTGTTAGTGGAAAGATTTTGTGATGGCTTCTCCGTCTTGTTGTGGGACAAAAAGGAGAGTCACTTCAGTTTAATGCAATACTTGGCAAGGGAGTCTCCAAGGAGTGGACGTAGGTCAGATTTGACCGAACCACTATAAAATTCGGTGTGTTCTTTCTTATTATTTTTAACACATTTTATTTCCACACTTTTTTGTTATTTATTCTATTATTGAAAATTTTGATTGTATTGTTATCGTGAAAATTATTTTTTCCCCGTATCAAGGGTTATTATTTTGTTTTAAAATATTTAAAAAGATAAAAAAGATTTTTTTTTAGATTTTTTAAAACTACTAATTCACCCCCTCTTGATTAGCCTCAGGCTAGTTCTTTAGGATTTAACACACCTCATGAACTTTCAATCTCCCCTATTTAAGAGAAATTCCATAAGTCTTCGACTCCCGACATGCTAGAAAAAAGCATGTACGGTATGTGTCAGATGACACAGCGACCGTAAATCTTAAATCCCACCACGCCAGATAAAGTCGTGCATAGGTCTTCGGGTACCTATTTGAAAACGCGGTTCTTTCCCCCGCCACGCTGTGCGAGCACTTAAGGGTACTTAGAAATTTTACCTACACGCTATAAGAGCATGTACGAGGCCTACCTGCCTCGCCGTAGGAGCCGCACCAGGTTCCTTTCCAACCACGCTAGAGAAAAGCGTGTATAGACAATTTTCGATGTACTGCAAACGCTGAATATAGGATTTTGAGTTGAGGGGATTATACCTTCTTGAAGAGGCGACGACAATGGTAACGGTTAGCAAATGCACAAAAGAAAACTCTTCTTATTATTATTATTCTTCTTCTTCTTCTTTTGAATTTTCTTTTTTTTTTTTTCTTTTTTCACATTATTTTATATTTTTGGAAACTTTTTCTTCTTCTTCTTTGTTAAGCTGTAATAATAACTAACTAGCTAAAGAGGTCGGTTATAGGTGATTGCTTGTGGCTGAGAGCTCAATCAGATAAAGGGAGGCGAGTGAATGGATAAAGGGAGGCGGGTGAATGGGCTAGGGTGTGACTGTAGCTATAGGGTTGAGTGGGATAGAGGGAGGACAGTTTACCCTGGTTAGAGGAGCTCAGTGGGTTCGGCTAATGTAGGAGCTGACCCCAAATGGAATCGACAACTCTGGTCGGGATGAATTTGGGGTCTTGCCGTCGGATAGGGAGGTCCGATCGGGTATGGATCGAGCGTGAGGGTTGTGGGATGCAAGTGCTGGTGTCAGGTTTTGGGGAAGAAGGGCTTCAGCTCGGTAGATGGAGGAATCAGGATTTGAGGGAGGTCCGGTTGGGTCAAGGGATTTGGATTGGTAATGGAGTGGGGTTCGATTTGAAGAGGTTTGATGGGGTTGGAGTTCGCTAGAGGCGAAGAAGTGATGGGCTTGGGCTCTCGTGCGTTACAGAGAAAGAAAATAAGAAGTGTTTAATAGGAAGAAACGATGGAGCTTTTGCGAGTGGAAGAAGGGTAGCGAACGACAGCTTTGCTCTCGTTTTAACAACGTGAAAAGGGAGTGATCGAGGCGAGCAAATCCCGAAATGGTGCCGAATGCACAGGTATTTTGCAGGATTTCTTGGATTTTTAGCGGTTTTTGGGCTAGGTTTCGGCTCTATCTATTTGTCAACAATGTGAAGACAAGGATAATATTTTGATTGATGAGAGTTCAAGTTGTTATATATTACATTTTATATAGTCAGGTGTCAAAATAATATTTCTCTATGGTGCAACATAAAGGCTCTGAATACAAAAATAAAGAATGTCTTACTAGAAAGCTTAAAAAAAACTATATGAAATAAAATAAGCTCCTAGTCAATGGTATCAAAAAATTTAAAAGGCATGCAATGCAAATTATGGTTGCTACATCAAAGAAATTTATAAGAGTTGTATCATTTTGCTAATGGTAAATAACAGATCGATCAATAAATAGAAGAAATGATTATGAAAGGAGCTTGACATGAAGATCTTAGGAGAGGCAAAGAAAACCCATGAGAATAGATTTTGGAGTATCAGCAAGTCAAAGCAACCTCAAACTATTTAGGTGTTGAGTAAATTTAAGATTTTATAGGTGAAATATGTAAGTGGTCCCTTGGATAACAAATTTAAACTAAAAACAAAATCACCTAGGACTAATAAGAAGATAAAGCATATGACCAAAGTTTCTACAGCTTTAGTAATTTGAGTTGTAATTTGCTTGATACTCAAACAAGTAAGATAGGAAATATTTATAATTGGGTGTTACTAATATCAGTTAAGTTTTGACATTACCAAAGATAATAGCCTTATCTACCACATAAGCCGAATATATCGAAGTTGATGAGGTTAGTAAAGAAATGTTTGGCTAAATAACATAAAAAAGTTATGGAAAAGATGGGATGACAGTAGTGTAATGTTTTACATGCTACTAAAAATGCAACATTCCATTCTAGATTAAAGAATATTCGACTATTATCTTATCGGATGTTCAATTGGCACTTGGACAAAATAAGGGAATCTACAAATTTAATTGCCATGCATGCGAAAATAATTGCCAAAAAAATCGATACTTTGTGAAGCCTCAATTAATCTCTATGGATAATTGAGAGGACGTGAAGCACTTTTTATGTTCTAGAAGTTAGTTCATCAAAGATTAAATCTCCAAATGGAGGATTATTTTTTGGTGGAGCTCAAATTTTGCTCTTCAAGGTAGAAGCATAATTGAAAACAAAAGATTTTAAGGAAATGCAAATTTATTTTACATACCTACTTGAATAAGAATATATTCAAAAAAAAAATTATTGCAAACTTAGCTATCATGAATTAGCCTCAAATCAAAATTTGAAGCAATTTTTTTGTTTGATTTCGATAATCTAATCAATAGAAGACAAAAAGGGGGCTAGTTGTGTGCCCATATGTGACTGAAGAAGAAAAAAAAATTGAGCATCGAATATATCATCTGTAGACAAACTTCACGGAACCACGTAACTATTTGTCTCCTGCTTTCTATGTGTTTTTAGTTGTATGTTTATTTCTCATTCTCGTATTCAACATTACTCCTATGCACTCATTTTTCCACAACAGCCACAAAATACATCTCTTGGAGAAAAATCTAATCAAGACAACATAATTAAACAGGAAGAAGGAAGAAGCTTATACACAAGGATGTGTTATTGATCAAAAAAAAAAAGAAAGAAGGAAGAAGCTTACTTAGTGATAAAAGGAAAAATGATTTATAAATATATGAATATGGACAAAAAGAACTTTTCATTGAAGTGGCACAGCTATAAAAAATAACCACAAATGTGCTAATTAAATATATAACACAGCACAATAACTAAAAATGGCATATAAAGTTACATTAGAGCTTACTTCCTGCAGATTCCCAAGCATCATCTGCAGCGGAGCTTCAGGTATGCTATAGAGCATTTATAATGATGCCTGGACGTTGATGGGATTATTGAAACATCTGTACAGGGATATAACACAGGTAGGACACAATTGAATATGGTAAGTATGCAACGAGGCAGCATCAGTCACAAGCCTTCTTAAGACTACCAATCGAGGAAGTTCACCTACATGTAACCACAGAAATTTAGACTCTTAAATATAGAAGGTCATAGGTAATGTCTAACATGATACAAGCCAATAGTTGCGTACCATTATGGAACTTTTCAGATCAACAGATTGCACTGAAGTGTATAGATAATTCCAAGAAATAGAACAGTGGCATCTAGATATCAGATTTCAACATCCAGACTTTGGCACTTTAAGGCACATTAACAATCAAATTTCATGGAATAAGAATAAAATTTGGTGTAATAAATTGATATAATTAAGATTACCCCAACAAATGTTGTCTAGTAAGGGTGCGTTTTAGAAGAATTTTCTGGTATTACTAGATTCTGACCACCTCTAGATGCCTTCAAAGCTTGTTTAATTGGATGAAACTGAATCCCCAAAAATGGCTTTTGATTTGGACCTTTTTCTGATATACCAGGCAATGTTCGCTGAAGCCATGAATCAGAAGGAGATTTTGGCAATGGAGGGGGAAGCAGAGACAATATCAGGGAGTTGTCAATATTCTTCTTCTGACCATCCGCTTTGAAGTCGAAATCCATTTCGTTACTTTGACTATTTTTAAAACCATTGCCCTTTTTGTCTTCACAGTTTAATGTTTTTAAGTAAGATGAAAAGCATGGTTCAGTTGACCTGGAATATTTAGACTGCAGTTGACATCGTCCAGAGGTCTGAGAAACAACACTTTCATCACTTCTTTGAAACTCAGATAAGAGTGTATAACTGCTATCAGTGTTTTCTTCGGTGCCTGAAGTCATACTCACTACTTTTGAGTTTGAGTCTGATGTATCGAGCAATTGTGAAGAATTTATATGAGTTCTAACAGTTGCAGGGCTTGCTGAATCTAAGCTCCCAGTTTTTGAACTCTTTGATTTGCTTTTTACATCCGCAGTCTTGTTAGTTGACAGGTCATCAACAGAGGAATGTCGGAAAGAAGAGCTGTCCGGCGTTTGGGAATCAATCCAGCATGTAAGCTGGTTGGATTTAGTCGTTAACTTGCTGTCAACATCTTTTTGTATATAATCTAAATTCATTAATCTGTGTCTGCACGCAACCTCCCATGAATCATCCTAAACAACAAACACAACACCAAAAATAATTATTATTAACCACTGACAAACATGAAATGTTTAACCTGTAATTCACCTCAACGGTCCCTTCATCGTTCGAAATTGTAATGCGAGGGCTAGAAAAACGGCCGAGTTTCTTGGGAGGCAGGTCTCGAACCCTCATACGAGGAACAGACTTCAAGAGGAAAAGAGGGTTCTTCATACCGAAACTTGAAATCAATCTACGTGCCCTAGAAGAGAAATAGCCCGTGCTTTCATGACTCATAATCTCACCACTCTCTTTTTCTTCCACGACTTCTACTTCTTCCTTCCGACCGTTGCCACTCGAGGCGGAAACACTAAAATGGTAGTTGTAGTGTAGAGGAAGCAGTGTCTGTGGCAGAGTCTTTCTTTCAAAATATTTATCAACAGCAGGTGCCCGAGGCGGCTTTTTCCAACCCCGCTGGGACGACCCAGAAACTATGGCTTGGGCAGCAGGCAGAAATCTACCCATCATGTACTCTTCCATCTGCAGATCTTTGTAGAACTGACCATTGGAATCCGTAAGGCTAGGACAGGCGCTCAAACCAGTGAATCCGCTCCTCAAGGAAAACGATTCATTACAAGAAAGGGTATCCCGGGCATCTGAAAAAGCATCGCGTTCGCCACCATAATCCGCAGGATTAAATCCCACCCATTCCGTTATTAGCTTCTCTGTGCCGCGATCTGACGAACACGCAACCCGCATCTGTGTTCCAACAGCGTTGGGTTTGGGCCGCGAAGCATTTATCAACATTCGATCAGGGGGTATGTACGGGGCTGCAGTGCTACCACCAATGACGGGTCCGACGACATCGCCTGAGTTTTCCTTGGGATGGCCAGGCATTTTCTCCCAGATAAATGGCACGGCTCCACTATGCTCCACATGGCCTGAGCGAAGGAGCCCTCTCCGCGACTGCGGCATGGCATCCTTCGACGAAGCTAAGGAAGCCTTGATTCGCCGAACGGAGATAAGAGGGGCATCAAGATCGAGCATCTTGCCTTCCATCCAGCTCTCGGCCACAATATATCCCAAGCTATTTTGATCGTTCACGGTAGCTCACGAAAACCACGTTATGAAGGATTGCAAATCGAAGAGAAAGTTAGGGTTTCAAGTCATACTGGCTTCGTCGGCAAGGGTTTGCCGGAGGAAGAACGGATGATAGGCGGGTAGATAGAGGGAAAGCAAACTGGAATTGTTTTGCGCGGAAGCAAAGCTCCGGCTGAAGTTTGGAGTTCTGACTTTAGAAGTCATTTTAACCGCCGAAAAGGCCGATGCGCGCAGGGAATTTAATAGCCATATTTTAAGATTTTTCAAACAGTTTAATCTTTAAAATTAAAGCACACATATTTTCTTTATTTTACTTTATATTTCATGAGAAAATTCTCCATATATCTTATTTTGATGGATAAATTAATTAAAATTAAATTTAAATTTAAATTTAAATTAAATAATTCATTTCTTATTTCAATTTTGAAAATAAAATGTTTTCCGATTATTTCATCTTTAAAATATCAAATTCCAATCAAAATTTTTGAAACTGTCAAAATATTCAAACTCAAACAAAATAATTAATAAAATGGCAAAATCATGAAAATTCAACTTTAAAAATTTAAAAGGAAATATATTTAAATATTAAATTTAAATTAAAAAATGATTAAATCTAAATAATACATTTGCAAAACTATCAAAATCAGCAGTCCTCAAAACATTTACGATGAAAGGGAAAGGTCTTGAGAATTGGGTAATCACATATTTAAAGGACATTTAAAGCACGTGTAAGTTATATATTGCAATTTTTTTTGTTTGCTTTTTAATTATTAAATTTAATTTAATGATATTATTTTCCTTAAATGGAGTAAGTAATAAAAGAATTTCAAAGAAAAGTAACTCCGTAAGAATTATATCAAAATATCTTCGTAAAAAAATTAATTAAGATGAAACATAAAACTCTTAAATTAATTTCAAGATGAATTTAGTATTAATTAGATATGTATTGCACTTAACAATATAATTTTTTTAAAATTTATTCTAACTAAAACCTTAATCACAATATTATGGCTTATTTTTTAAATGTATTTTAAGGGATTTTTATTATTATTTGATATTATATCTTAACATTTTTTTTAAGATTAATATATTAAAATACATTTTTTAAATGTATTTTAATCTCAATTTGGACGGAACCAGCTTATCTTTTGAGGAGTTTTTTTTTTTAAATTTGAGCCATTATAATTATTGAAGATTGACAAAATAATTAAAATACTTTTTTCTTCTAAGAAAATTAAAATTTCAAGGTGGGCAATTGCCATCGTGAGATCTTGAAGGTTCCACTCCTAACCAATCTTTTATTCTTGAGCTTAAGAAATAATAATAAGTATAATTGAAGAAAATGTAAAAGAAATATAAATAAATTTAGTTTTTTATATAAAAAAAAAAATTCGCTCTCAATTGGCGTAAAATATTTGTGTAAGCAGCAGCGTGTCATGAATTTTCCTAATTGTATTGGGGATGGAAATTAAATCCCATGTTTGATGATAACAGCGGGCAGTGGTTTGGCGCTTGCGCTGAAGTTGGTGGTATGGTGGAGAAGCGAGGAGGGAATAGATATTAATATTAGTAGAACGTATTGGGGTAGGCAGAAACCCAATTGGCTGGCTAGTGCTGTTTTCTGTATAGACATAAGAGGCGAATGACGGATATGCTGGAGTGATAAACCTTGCTTGGAGAACTAGTTCTACTATGATCATGGAATTTAGGCTAAGGATAAATTTTTAAACTAGATATTATTAAAAATTTGATAGCGTGATTAAGTATGACAGGTTTAGTTTCGTATAAAAGTTTAAATAAATAAATAAATAACAAATATTGATGTGGAATTACGGAATCAAAATGATTTGACAACATATAGTTTTTAGTTCCAGGTTTGTTTTTTTTAAGCTTAGTTTATAAATAATTAATAATAATAATTTATTCATATTCTAAAATTTATATATTAAAATACAAGAAATGGGTATAAGTTTTGTTGCATCCTGGAATATTTGTGGCGGTAGAAAAGTATATAATTTAGCGTCTTAGTGTTGTATGAAGATCCACCACACAAGCAGATGAAAGAGAGATTGTGCAATATTTATAAGAGACGCTAGAGTTTTTACGTAAAAACCCCTTAAAAGGGAAAAAATTATAGGGCATGGCCCATTTTGAATGAATCCACTAGTCTTTGCAATTGATTACAAATGAGAACCTTCCTTTGGAGAAGGCCTTAGCTTGATGTCAAAAATGTACATCATATAGAGCGCATTACATAGAGGGAGTCAGAATAATCAACGTAGACATATTTGTTTGGTTGGCAGTACCATAGTCGATAGGATAGAGATTTGAAAGATCGTAGTAGGCGACATAAGTTGGAAGGACCATAGTCAGCAAAAGATCGGGGTCAAAAAAATCATAGTTGGCGAGGGAGGTCACCGTAGTAGGCAACGGAGGTCGGAAGGATCGTAGTCGGCAAGAGTTTGGGGTCAAAAAGATCGTTGTCTGGCGAGGGAGGTCAAAAGGATCGTAGTCGACAGAAGACTGGGGTCAAAAAGATCGTTGTCTCACGAGGGAGGTCAGAAGGATCATAGTGGGCGACAGAGGTTGGAAGGACCGTAATCGGTAGGAGACTGGAGTCATAAAGACCATTGTCTAGCGAGGGAGGTCGGAAAGACCATCGTTGACAGGATACTGGGGTCAGAAAGACCATTATCTAGTCAGGGAGGTTGGAAGGATCGTAGTAGCCAACGAAGGATGGAAGGACTGTAGTTGGCAAAAGACCAGGGTCAGAAAGGCCATAGTTGGCGAAGAAGGTCACCATGGTAGACAACGGAGGTCGGAAGGATCATAGGTGACGGAGGTCAAAAGGTCCGTAGTCAGCAGGAGATTGGGGTTCAGAAAAATCATTGTCTGGCGAGGGAGGTAGGAATGACCGTAATAGGCGACGGAGGTCGGAAGGACCGTAGTCAGCAGATGACTAGGGTCAGAAAGACCGTTGTTTGGCGAGGGAGGTCGAAAGGATCATAATAGGCGACGGAGGTCGGAAGGATTATAATCTGCAGGATACTGGGGTCAAAAAGATCATAGTTGGCAGGAGACTATTATGTGCCCTAAAGAAATATTATTATAATATATTTCCTATGGAAATAAGTATTTAAAGATAAGTTTAACATGTTTCAATATTATCATTGATATAATATTTATATTACATGATTATTTATGTAACCATAATTCGGTATATAATTATATACAAGAGGATTGAGTTATGGATAATAATCAAAATAAGTTCATGATTATTGATTATAGTTGGAATCTATAATTAAATATTATTAGTAAGATCTATCAATATTAAGAATGGAACATTCTTATCCGGATTATTCGATATGAAGATATTAAGGATGGAGGTATTTTATATAATATGATTATATAGAATTGGATCAGATAAAATTTGAATCCTCTAATAAATTCTATTTTAATTATAGATAATTTTAAATTAATCATAAAGATGATCATATATAAAATAATCTTAATCCCGAGTTATTAATAAACTCCTATTTATGACATTTAATTTTTTTATTTACTCGAAAATAGTTTGGAAGAAATAAATTCAATTCTTGTATCTCAGAAATACAATGAAACAAATAGCTGAAAATGTTAATATACATATATGTAATCCATTCCTTTCATTTATTAAAGTTAGAAAATTAGTTCCCTAGAATAATTAATTCAGAACCTGAACAATTCAGCGCTCAAATTTTGTGATGAGATCACAAAGTTTATTGTTTACTAGATAATTAATTGGAATTCAAGGATCAAGATATAATTAGTGAGGTGACAAAATTACCTAGCTATAATTATGAATTTTTTATGGAGGATTATTTTATATATAATGATTAAATCAATGGATAATTCAATTTTTTAAATTGAGTAAATTATACTATAATTTCAAAAGTGCAATTTCATATTTGAAGTGAAATAATATTGAAATTAATAATTTGATTTATTAATTTAAGAGTTAAATTAATGGTCAAATTTATTGAAGCTTGAATTATAGGTCCATAGGTCCATTTTTCATCACCTAAGCTCTATTATATATTGAACACTATCATTAAGAATATAACATAATGTAAATGTTAAATTATGATTATATTAATAATATATTTATGTTCATCTTTTAATTTTATTATTTTTCATGAAGATAATGATAACTCATCATTAATATCTTTTAATATTAAAAAAATAAAGATAAGATTGATGATGTGTCATTAAAAATAAGATTGATGATGTGTCATGATGTGTCATAATAATTATCATTTTAATATTAATTAAAAATACTTCATGAATTACTAAGAGGTTATGAAAAGATGTATTTAAAATTGAAAAGATGTGAACTTTTCTTATAAAAAAGAATTAAGTTCTATATGAAAATGATGATGATATATGATTCCTTCATGAGAGATGAAAGAATATATATGTGAAGAATGTTAGTCTCATAATCTTTTATTTTTGAATGATTAAATAGTGTTTAGAATACAAATTAGATTCAAAATAAAAAATGTTCATACAGACTATATTTTGAAGATTTTTGTCCGGGTATTTTTGATTCGACGGAGTTTTTAGTCGACTGGATTTTTCTGTGTAATTGAAAATTGTCTGTGCAGTAGAATAAATATTCTGAAATATTATTATCTACATTCTGTACGAATTTGGTAAATTGTAATTTTCAGGAAAAATTGTGTAAATTCCGTATACTGCCGTTGTGCTGCCCGATTTTTGTCTGATTTCTGATTTGTCCGGATTTCTTCTGAATTAATATGCTATCTATATATGCTATAAAAAGGGGGTTATAAGGGGCCTGGATCCTATGAGATTCAATTAGTGTCTGGG